ATTACTACACAAAGATGGTAAATTTTTTCTTGTGACTGTAAATTCTTAATGATAGGAGTCCCATGTTATGGCATCCAATTCGATATTTAAATATATTGGATGATGTTTTATTAATTAACAATATTCTTTTGACATCAATATTCATACGTTGATTTGATGTATCTCCTTGAACTCGAGATAAGATACCACAGAATCTTACACATTGTGGATATTTCATTAGAAAAAAAGCTAATGGTAAATTAACAATAAAACTTTGTGATAAACATGATTTCAACATCCGTATTGACAATTCTTTTATTTTTTGTTTGTATTTAGTATATTGTATTGGTGATAAGAAAATACACATTTTCTTTTTTCACCTAGTGCTTCCAGCCTCAATTCTCTGTTCTTATAAGGAGAACAGGCCTCTGTATGATCGTGTAGACATACGTAGTACATCTACTTATTATTTTCACATTGGCCATATCATTTTAGTGGGTGAAAAATGGCCTTCATATTTCACAGACCTGGGTATTCATTGTGAAATACTTTTGTACTGGTACACCAAATTAACCTTCTGAATTAAACTTGGAGTATGACTCACTTTTAAGAAAGTTTCATAACTTGAATCTTGGCCTTAACTTTTGAACAGTTGGTGCAAGGCCTTTTATACTTCACTTGTATATTTACTGTGACAAGATCTTTCAATGTGTATAAATTAAAATATTTGACCTTGAACTTCTAGTTTAACCCACGGTTAAAAAACTTTAACTTTGATCATAAATTTTGAGCTGATAATAGTAAGGCTTTCATATTTCACAGATTTATTCTTTGTGACAAGTCCTTCCTTGGATGTCAACAATTTTGACCTTTGACCTTGACTTTGGAGTTTGACTTGCACTCGGGAAACTTTAACCATAAGCTGGCATATGGGGTATCAGTATGTACAAACACATCTTTTTTCCGAGTTCACCCACAAATTAATGCTATTTAATGAATTTTAGATAAGAGAATTACAAGGTAGATATTTGAGGATATAGTGAAAAAAAATAGTTTAAAAGATCATGGTTATGAATACTAAAAAATAATTATTGTTATTTAGTATTTATATTTAAGTTCTACAGGGAATCAACCAGGATTAATATGTTGATAATAATAATGTTCAGTGGGGAAAAAAATGGGTTTTCCCTTATTCCATGCATTTAATATATTCTTTTTCTTTACAGATAAAAGAGAACTGGAGAAAAATAAATTGATGTTAACATACTCAACATTAAATTTGGCTTAAATCTAAATATGTCTTTTATTGTGATTGCTTCATGAGCAATTAGGATCAGGAAATTTAAAGTGAAGGATAACCAGAAAGTGGATCATTCAACAGATGAAAAGAAAATAAGCCTTTGAGGGAAATTATGTCAAATGCATGAATTGAATATTTTAATTGCACGAAATTTTTGTTTCACCAACGTTTACAATATGTGAAAAAATGTTCAAAACATGTGTTTAACCATTGTTTGACACATTTTTATATGGTATTTATTCATTTACAATATCAGCAGTGCAAATAATAAAACCATTAAACATGTTATGAGGAACGTATGTTACACACACGTTGCACGTACGTTATTCATATGTGAAACGTATGAGTAACGTAAGTGTGCAAAATATGTGTAACGTATGGTAGACAATACGTATGTTTAATATACGTGACACGCATGATATACACATGTGTGAAAACGTACGTATAACGTACGTGGTGCTTTTTTCATGGAAAACGTATGTGAAGTCACGTACGTGTAACATACGTTTAACATACGTGAAACGTAAGTGGCACAATTAGCTGTGTAATGTAGTGGATTTATGGAACGCCGTCACTGCCTTATAGCAGAACACTACTATTGCATTGTGTCAACCTTCCATTACATTATGTCAACTCTTTATGACATTAACCCACCCTACTATTGCATTGTGCCAACCTTCCATTACATTATGTCAACTCTTTATGACATTAACCCACACTACTATTGCATTGTGTCAACCTTCCATTACATTATGTCAACTCTTTATGACATTAACCCACCCTACTATTGCATTGTGCCAACCTTCCATTACATTATGTCAACACTTTATGACATTAACCCACACTACTATTGCATCGTGTTAACTTTCCTTTACATTATATCAACTCTTTATGACATTTACACATACTACAATTTTATTTCGTCAACTTGCATTTCGTTATGTTTACTTTTCATGACAATCTTAGTTTTTATTAACTGATGTGAAAAGCTCATGCCATACTGTGCGCACTCTTCTACATTATGTCGATTCACTATTACGTTATGCGAACGCGGGTATCCTCGGCCTTTATATGAGCATAACGTATTTTCCGCGTTCCGCAAGCACTAAATTGGCGGGAGAGAAAACTGTCGTAGAAGAGATTCTCAGCGATTTCGGAATGACATCTTTAAATGAAAACTTGAAGCGACAAATGATTGACAATCTTGAAACATGCAAAGCCTTAACACTGCGACTGTGAATTAAAGTCACGTCGAAATTCAATGGTGTTTACTTTAATCTGATAATTAAATAAATAAAATATTATGAGTCGTGCAGCAATCATTTTTTTCTTTTTATTTTGATTTTTTTTTTTATAAAAGTCTTAAACTTTGTAGGACATTGCATTAGTTTCACATTAAATTAAGCTGAATTAAGTTGAAAACTTTTTTCTATAAAACTATAAAGCCTGAGAGCTTCTCCGCTTTCCGCCGTTGGTCTCCAACCATATACCGTCCCCCTTCCTTGTTCAAGATTCCCATATCTGCCAGTGATATGTGCCCATGCATGCTTACTAAGGCATATTCAATTGATTTAGATGAGCGACTGGTAGATTTTTGTAATAGAATTCTGGCCCTGGAATGATTAAAAAAAATTACTAACTCCAGTGACGTAGCATCATTTTTTTGAAAGAGGAGATCAGCCAGTAAAAAAAAATCATTTATCCGAAAAAAATAGACAAGCCAAGAAAAAAAATGTCCAAGCCTGAAAATCCTATTTCGGGGAGAGTGGTCCAACTTCAATCAATCCTATTTTTTTCCAGATATATTATATTACCCTTAGTGGACTATATTTCAACAAGAAGTGGGGGTGGGGGGGGCTGTACAGTTTCAATGAACATTACATTTTCTATAGTAAAGTTATGTCTGGGAAAAGAGGGGGTTGATATTATGTGCCTGTAATTTGTCCTAATCAATCACGACCCCCCCCTTCTTACAAGTCATTAAAACACGGTCGTCAACATTTATTATATACTAGATATACAGCTTTGAGATAATGTAAATGTATTTTTGCATCAGGTAATGAACTTGGAATCCACATGATAAAGAGTTAACACAATATAAAGATATTTTTAAATCACATAAGAAAGAGTTGGCATAACGTTATAATATATCCACATCACGGTATGGAGTTTTGACATAATGTAATAAAGTGTTGATATAATATAAAGATATGTTCACATTATGTTATACACTTTTTACACCACGTAATAAAGCATTGACATAAAGGTAAGATGTGTTCACCTCACATCATGATGCCCTCGCCGTAAAATAAAGATAAATCCATATCACGTAATAATACTTTGATATAATAGAAATATACACCCTCAAAAAGGAATGGGCTTTTGACTTCATGTGATGATAAGTTTAATTATAAAACACAATTTACTTGACGTAATGCAATTTTGACCTCACATATTAAAGAAATGAAATGATGTAAAGAAACATTCATTTCACGTAATAAAGTTTTAACACAATGTAAACACATTATCACTTCACATAATGAATTTTTTACTTCAAGTTATGAAGTGCTGACATAATGAAAGGATGTATTTACTTCATGTAATGCAGCATTGACATGATGTTAAGATATATTTTCATCATCCCATAAAAAATGGACATAACATAAAGATATGTTCACATCACGTAATGATAAATTGACGTAATAAATGCATAGCTGTATGCTATAAGGCAGTGATGGCGTTCCATATGGATTCCTGATTCTAGTTGCTTCCTCTCATTAACCTTTCGATTTTTTTGCAAAAAATTGCTTTCTAGACTCCCCTAGAAATTAAAATGCCCCCCCCCCCTAAATACCAATTTGAACAACAAGACTACTAATATTTAAGAAAATTGCATATAAATCTGTCTTTGTGCTTTTGCAATTCTTTGCTCTTCTCAGAACTTTGCTATATTTGTCAAGTACATCTTATTCTAAATTTTATTTCGAGGGTTTTAAGCAATAGATTCCGGCAATCTATTCCGGCTATAGATTTTTTTCAAAGTACGTAGATTTTATCCCAATTTTAACGCAGTTTAAATTTTTTTTTTTTCAAAATGCGTTGCACTAATATCACCCATTGTATTTGCGAGTTAAATTTTCGACATAACAAAATGAATTGGACAGAAACAGGTGTTTCTTTAAAAAAATAACTTCCGTAATGGTAATTCAGGAATGTTTTCGCATGAAATGTATTTAAAATATAATTTTGGAAACGAGATACTTCATTATATTGATTTACATCTTAAAACACACGTATATTTTATCCATTGCCGAGAAATTCAACTTCTGTTGTTGTAGATTAACTTCCGTAACGATTAACTTCCGTAACGATATTTCCCCAAATTTAAATAAAATAAAAAATCCATGCTGCCGAACAAGGAATGTTAGTCCTGCCGAAGGTGTAAATGTAACAAGGTAAATTGCTATGTTTTGGATATTTAATCGTTTTATGGACATTTATTTTGAAATAATGTGTATGAAAACAAGTCGTATGTAAGCGTTCAAAAATTCTACTTCATGAATGCATACAGAATCGCCATCCAGCATCTCGATCGTTATCTGGTTTGTTTTCACTAAGTCTTTACTAGTGTTTTCAATGGAAATTATAGGCAGCTAACATTGCAGCTTTTTAATAATACTTTTAAGCAAAGTATGTATTACAGGTGCCTGTGGTTTGGATAACTATACTGTGTACGTAAATTGAGACGTGGCTAAGCTAGATTGTATTTTCTATTGAGAAGTTGATGGCTCCCAGTCCTACTCCTCTCTCAATTAAGAGAGTACAGTGTATTAAAGCAAGCCATCAACTTCTCAATAGAGATTATTTACATTCGCTGTGTTTTTCTACTAAGCCAACTGTGAAATTGATTTGAAAACCATTTTCCTGTATACTTACGCGTAGAAATATACATGGAGAAACGTGAGTTAACGTGACGTCACAAAAAGGTTACAGCTACGTTAGTAAAAGTACAACGATATAGGGCAGCGAGAAAATCAAATATTGAGTATATTTTTGGTGCTTCCAAACACGTAAAATGTTTAAATAAGGAATGTTTTTAAGTTTAGTGTGAATTATTGGTGTGTGAATCACAAAGACTTGCACGTATATATAGGCATATTTTTCATGAAGCGCGAAATATGCCTACGTGACAAGTCTGTGTGATTCACACACCAATAACTCACACTTAACTTAAAAACATTCCTTAAATAATTATGAAAGAGAATATTAATTAACGATTCATCAACCTCTTGATAGAGGATAAGTAAGATTACTTCACAATCACTGTTCTGAATTATCACCAATCGACCTGAAATGACCCCCTTTATAATTTCATTCAAGAAGTAATTTTACTGTATGGTCACAAATCAGTTGTTTTATTTAGGCCGAGAACTTAAAGAATTTTAAGTACAAAGTCTCTCAAGAAGATTCAATTTGATGAGTGATTTTACATGCATTCTGAGTTGTTTTGAGATGAGTTTAATGTATAATACTTATATCACTGCACTAAAGTGTAACTTTTCGAACATGCTAAAAAATAACACATTTGAAACACGGATGCTCCCGTATGGCAGCTTATGGCGAGGGTTGAATTCTCTCAAATGCATGTCAAACTCCAAAGGTCAAGGTCAAAAAGATAAGTGTTTGATACCTAACAGAAGGTCTCGTCACAAGGAATACACCTTCAACTTAACTTAACTTTTAACTTAATATTCTCTTTTGATTAAAACACATGTCCGTAAAATTTTTTTATCCAATTTTTGATTGTTTTTAGAACTCATTTTTGGGTATGAGCCAAATATAAATGCACTATTTCTAACTGTTCAGAAGTTATGACCAAGATTTTTAAAAAGTTGGTTAAACTCTTAGGTCAAGGTCAAAAATATTTATACTAACTGAAAGTGCTTGTCACAATGAATACACATATAAAGAATGAAAACCCTAGCTCCAACTGTTATGGCCAAGGTTAAAGTGTGGTATTTTTTGTAAAAGCTAGTCAGACTCCAATGTCAAGAGTTCAAATTTGGCGGTACCCATGGAAAGGTCTTGTCACAAGGCATACACCTGTGAAATATGAAGAACATAGACCCACCCACTCAATAGTTATTGGATAGGTTAAATTTGACAACAGACAGACAGAGAGACAAACAGACAGGGCAAAACAATACACCCCTGGGATTTTTAGATTCAAGGGGATAATAAAAAGTGTGTTAAATAGCTAGTAACGGGACGTTTCGCTCCTTTGCTGACTTTTTGCGCTGCGATGAGAACACTTGCACAGCTTAAAACTTTTACTGGACCGTCTGCAATCCAATGCACTACATGCGAACCTTCAGATACATAAATAATAGTGAAATAAAAAGATGGCAAAAAATTACAATTATTGGAGATCACCTCTTCACCTCATGCTATAATATTTTATATAATTATAAAGGTACTTGTTTCTGTAATAAATTTCTAACCCATAGTATAATAATAACACAAGGTACCTATGAGTTCTCGCCAAGTGGAAAGTTGAATTGTTGATTCTTCAATAAAAAAAAACAAATTTGGACAAATCATGTTAAGTAAAGGTTTACATATAAAAATAAATTTTAGAATGTGTTATTTTATTGCTAAAAGTGTAATATAAATTAAACTTTTAAAAAATATACCAAGCTAAGTGAATTTTATAAGATAAAGCAAAATGGGAAAATTCAGCCTATGTGAATTTTCTGGTTTTTCACCATTTTGCTTTTCCTCATAAAATTTATCAGTATCCCTTTAACTAAGGATACTTCGTGGAAAGTTAGATTGAAGTTGGCCCTGTGGTTCTTGAGAAGAAAATGAAAATGTGAAAAATTTACAACAACATCGACGAACACGATCGGCAGACAACAGGTAAATTTCAATCAGAAAAGCACACTTGAACCATTGGCTCAGATGAGCTAATAATATAAATTATGTATACTCAATCTCTTATCAGAATTTTTACCTCAGATACGCAGTAAATAGCTTTTAATAGATTATTACATACAATGTCACATAATCCATTTTAATAGTTTTGTTAAATGGGATACTGATCTGAGATTCATGTCTGTTTTGAGCAAACATTATTATTATATAGTAATACGTACACTTAACTTTTAATAATAAACCAACAAAAGATTTCAAGTATTATATTTTTATTTTACAATTTCTGTACTGTTAATGTATACGTCTAATTTCATGATTTTGATAGAAGAAGGAAAAAATGAAATAAATAAAAAACAAGATGTGTTCGTAAAACACTAATGCCCCGTATGGCAATATAGTGGAGATTAAACTTTTCTTAAGGACAGATGATACAAACACACTTTTGTCATAGAAATTGAAAAGAACAATTTGAGTCATGTTTCAATGAGTAAAATGAACAAGTTTAACAGGTAGTTTTAAAGTTTTATTCAAATGTTCTCAAAAATGAAATTTGAAGTGAAAAATATTTGTATAGATTCATAAGGATGGCTGCAGAAGGTTAGAATTTAGAACAACATAGAAGGTTCACAATGTCTAAATATTTTAGAAATTTATTAGAAATTTAATAGTTTTGTATTTTCAGAAAAAAGAATAGTATTATTGAAGCAAAATACTGCAGTGTTTTTTCTATTTACTCTATTTGCATGGAACAGATCTTTACAAGCGATGCACCGTTTCAACATGTTCGTGTATCCTTTTTTCTGTATTTCAATACTACTGGTTTAGTCCATCATATATAGATTTGTCCTTTTAACCTCCTTCTAATGCTTTTTGTCTCATTCCTTTAAAGAACATATCGTATTTATATCCGTATAAGGACATACAACACTAAAGAAATCATTTTTTTTAAATTTGTCTCCCGATCCCGCGGTTGGTTTACTCCATAAATGGAATAGTCCAATAATTATAAACAACGCAGTTCAACACGTCATGTTCTCCAGATTTATGATTTATGTAAAATTTTGGATTTTTCTTTCCAGAAAGGCCTAAATATTGAATATACTTCTTACATTCTCAATGTATGATAGTGGCACTACCCCCCCCCCCTTTAAGAAAAAAAAAAACAAGAATGGACACATTACTACTGTTTACTTCAGTAGAGAGAATACAGTCCAACAAAATGTGTATTTAATTATATCCATCTTTTAAAATGTTTACAATGTATGATTTTATTACAGATTTCATTAGGTGTACAAAGTTTTCAATTTAGATGTAAGGGCACTCCACTTGACCCCCCCCCCCCCCCCCCCCCCCCCCCCCCCCCGAATAACAAGTCTTAAGTATGCAGTGAAAAGATGATTCTTCCACAAGTTAAATAAAATGTCATTTACACAAGGTTTTCAAAATATAAAGTAAGAACATATTTTAAACCCACAAAAGTATTGCTCAAAAAGTTTATCACTCCTCATGCAGGATTGATTTAGTAAGGCAAGCTTTTTGAAAAGCGGATACTTTTATCAAATTAAATTTTAAATTCATGAAAAAATAAAATATTGAACCAAGCAACTTTAAAATTAAAATGCATTGGTATTTTATTTTCAGGATATTGTAGAATGGGAACATTGAGAGCTTTCTACATTGAACTTGAAAATCCCCAAGGAATTTTCTTTGCTGGACAGATTATAAATGGGAGACTTGTTGTTGAACTGGATGCAGAGATGAATATGAGAGGTAATGTTGCAATTCCAAATTTTTAGGTCACCTGAGTCACTTTGGTGATATATTGCTATCTGTTTTTGTCAGTCGTCGTGCGTATATTTTTCACATATGTAACTTCTCTAGAGCTACTGGACCAATTTCAATCAAACTTGCCTCCAAATTGACTTAACTTAAGGGAATTTAGTTTTGTTCAAATGAAAGGTAGTACATGCACATTCATGCTTGTTCAAATAATAATTTTTGGGAAGGGTGGGGCCAAAATGGGGGATCAAAATTTTACATAGAAATATACATGTACATAGGAGGATTTAAAAAAAATCTTCATTTCATGAACATCAGAGCCATATAGATGGACATATTTCTATCGAAGCATTCTCAGGTAGTGTATATTCATGTTTGTTGAAATTACCTTGGGGGTAGGGTCGAATCACAATTGAGGATCAAAGTTTTACAAAGGAAAATATAGGAAAAATCATTACAATTCTTCTTAAGAACAACAAACCACATGTTGCCATATTTATATGGAATATTCTCAGGTAGTGTAGATTTCTATTTGCTCAAATTATGCTCCCTGGGGGTAGGGTGGGGCAACAATTGGAGATCAACAGGTTTAACCTTTTACAGTCTTCTTCTCGAGAACAGAGCTACTGACAATTATATTTATATAGAAGTATCTTCAGGTAGTGCAGAATTTAATTTTGTTCAACTCATGACCCTAGGAATGGGGCCCCAATATGGTATTAAAATATTTACATAGGGGATACAATAGAAAAAATCATCAAATTCTGCTCATTTAAAACAGAGGGTTTATGTTGGGTGATGGTATATGCCAGCATAGATCCTCAGGTTATATATATTCAAATTCTTTCCTGATCATCGTAATGGGTTGGGAAGGGACAACTTAGGGATTAAATTTTGTGTAGGAATACGTGAAAATCTTTAGAATAGTTTGGAGCCTGTCATGGTATTTGTTATGCAATGTTTACTTCATTTACTCATCAATTTATGGGGGACTATGTGCATAAATAAGATAACGGTTAGAGCGTTCTCATCAAATTCTAAAATGTGTGTGATTTAAGTCTATTTAGCCAACTCCTGGGCTGCGTTCAAGATCCTATCGGCTAACCTAGCTGCTAGGTGTTAGATATCTATCTCTACTGAACAAATACACGATTACACTAAACGAAAGGTACAGTTAAAGTGTATCATTGAGGTAGTCAGTAAGATTCCAGTTCCCCAAGATCAAGTATATTCCCCGAGGCAAAGCCGAGGAAATATGTTTGCTCGATAGAAACTGGAATCTTGCAGATTAAATAATTCCCTCAATGTTATGCTTTAACTGTACCTTTGATTTAGAGTTAGTGTAATAACCAGAAGTCTCTCATGAAATTGTAGCTGTACTGGTTTGTACGTATAACAAAAGAAAAGTAGCACTTGGATATGAAACTTGGCAATACGCAGCAATAAATAGAATGATGTATCTTAGCGTAGTCTACTTGTGTGCCAAATTATATCGAAGTAAGATCAAAACTGTAGAAGTGTGCGTTTTAAAGGAATTTCACATAAATTTCCATTTTGAGTAACCAAGGCAACACCGTTCATTAAAATCAATAACCGATGAAATAAATTATGACTCTTAGTGTAGCCTACTTGTGTACCAAGTTATACCGGTATTGAAATCAGACCAAAAATGTAGGAGGAGTAGCATTTTAAAAAAATGTTTACAGACAGACGGACGACGGACACCTTACTATCGCATAAGCTCTTCTGGTCTCAGACCAGTAGGGCTAAAAAGTCAGATCAGTTTTAATATATACATTTTTTTAAATAAGCAGTGCAATTAAAAGGTGGGAAAATTGTACACCCACAACGTAGATAAAATACATTCAACAGATGGTAGCACATGTACTTTGTATTTGAATTAATGTTCTATGAAATACATGTATCTTCAAGAAATATTCTGTTCATTATATAAATGATTAATACTGTCACAAAGTAATTGATTCGCCTAGCCCTCACCGCACTAAATTTTACCATGTTGACATCATGATTACACGTTACTCTTTCCCGTATAAATTAGGTCCCGCCTCCGTATGTTAATTTACTTTGAGCTGTGTTATAAATATCCATTTCCCCCTTTTTTGGAATATATCGAAACATTTTGTATGATCAAAAGAAATTGCTAGGTCGGTGTTACGAAAAGTTGTGTATAAGTTCATCAAACTAATGCACCTTTTTTGCAGGGAATATGCGTTTTACATCTGCAACTCCTTCCATACCACTGAATAAAATTTAATCGCACTACTTTCTATTACAACTGCTGCAAGATTTAAAGTTGATTTTTGTAATCAAATTAACTCCAAAGTTTTGCAGAAAAATATTTAATGTATAACACTGATATATTACTATGACAACATGTGAAAGCAATCTTTAACTTAGGTTAGATATCCCACAAGTATTTATTTTGTCAGAAATTAGGTTGACGTTAAAAGGGTTGGCTTATGTGCATTGGACTGGAAGTGCAAAGAATAGACGGACCACAAGACACATTACAGCGATACAGAGAACTACTTCCACCAAGCGGTACCTGTGCTTGGACAAGGTGTGAGTGATTTAATGTCCTTTGAACTACAATGTATTTCTTTTATATCATTTCAGGAATAAGCTTGACCTTTCAAGGACTAGCTGATGTACATTGGACAGAAACCCAACAAAACTCGTCAGGAGACACAATATCCAAAGATTATAGTGCATCTGAGGTGTACTTTGAGCATTCTCAGCCTGTGTTTGGAGAAGGTGGTAGTTTAAAATTGGAAGACTTTTATAAGCCTTGTTTTAATCTAAACAAATATTAGCTTTCCTAAAAGCTTTGGTACTTTAGTTGGAGAAAAGCAAAAAGCAGTTAGGCTCTAAAAAGTTTGAATAGATATTATGTAGTTCATCGCTATCCCCAGGGGTAATGATTTGAACAAACATGCATACATATTAATGTAATAGTAATACTAATTTTAAATCTGCTGTTTTTAGCTGATGTTTAATGATTTTTTCTATACATTCCCATGTAATAATTTTATTGCCTAATGTGGCATCACCCTTCCTCCTAAAGGTTATGATTCAAACAAAATTGAATATACACAACATTTATGGATGCTTCAGTATTAGTATGACTAATCGTGGCTTTGCTGTTCCTGAGAAGAAGATTTTAAAGATATTTCCTATATATTCCTGTGTTTATTATTAATTACCTTGCCATAAGCCCGAGGGTCATAGTTTGAACAAACTTGAATTTACACACATAAGCCCGAGGGACATCGTTTGAACAAACTTGAATTTACACAATGTTATTATTTTTATTCTACTTTTGTATAGTGCCTTATCTAATTTTTTAATAATCCTATAGCGCTTTTAAAACATGTGAAAACAAGTACAATATAAAACGAACAGTAAATAAATCATAGAACATAAAAATAACACCAAACTAAAGTTAATACTATAAGAATTAGAATTAAAAGATTTTAAATATTAGAATAAAAATCATCTGGATGCTTAGTTAGTGCCTTATAAATCAAAAGCAAGTTTTAAAAGATGTCGTTTAGCCTTTGTTTAAAAACGACAAGTGACAGTTCGCTCCGGAGGTCCAGCAGAAGGCAGTTACACAGGGTGTCTGAGGATATCTTAAACCTTCCATGTCCATACATCTTACTTTGAGTGCGTGGTTTTAGAAGGCTCAGTAAATCCCCAGACAAAAGTGAGCACTGTGGGCGACAGACCTAAACCAGTTCCAAAATGTATGCCGGGGCTAGTTTCTGAAGTATACAGAAGAATTTTTTGTTTTGCACGATATGCCACAGGTAACCAATGAAGAGTTACGAGAATTGGTGTTATATGCTCATGTTTCATTAAACGTGTCACTAGTCTGGCAGCAGTGTTTTGACCTTTCTGCAACTTCTGCAAGGATGTGGCATTTAGACCATAAAGAATTGCATTACCATAATCAAGTCGTAACGGATGTCCCGCACGCATCCTCTGTTATGAGTGATCTTATTCTACCGATGTTACGAAGATGGAAATAACATGATCTAGTTACTAGATTTATTTGGCACCCTAGTTTGCTGTCGAAAAATACAAGAGTTTTGACACTGGAAGCTTATTGATGACTGATCAACCAAAAAGAAGTTGACGTCCTAAAAATTCATTTGCCATGCGTTGCGGGTTCAAGATGAAGCGTTCAGTCGTCTCCTGATTAAGCTTAAGGATGTTGTAGTATATCAGGCAGACATCGTTTAATTCTATTCGCAATGTTATCCAAACTGTCCTTTGGATTAATACTAGTAACCAGGTATTGTCATTCGCATAACAATTGTCTCCGACAATTTTCTCCGTTGGTTTGGAAAACATACAGTATTGTAAATGAGGTCTTAAAACAGACCTTTGCAGGACATCATACTGGAGTAAGAGCTCACTGGAGAATGTCGATCCTACAGCAATCTGTTGACTTTGACCAGATATATAAAACTTTATCCCCGAAAGCGCCGATCCTGTGATACCAAACGTTATTTGAATCGACTGATTAGTATATCATGATCAATTGCATCGAATGTAGCCGAGAAATCGAGCATAGGTGTATATTTTTTGTGAAGCATTACTATGTTATTGTACCTCCTAAGGAAAACAGTAATAAATGTTACAGACTGACAAGATCTTTCAAATGGTAAGCTTAAATAGTTGTTTCGAGACATTGCCTATTTCCTGAATTTTGTTGGTGTAATATTGAGTTTTACAATGCAGTATGAGTTTAGTAGCCTGCATACATTTTTCCTTGAAAATATCCTTATGGACAGACAATTTTTTTTCGTCTTAATTCGTTCAGCCCTTTCTGCAATCTCTCTTGGCAAAAAGGGGATCATTTTTAAACCAGGAGTATTTGGTCGTAAAACGATCTCCATTGATTTCTGAGGGGCATGAACATCGATGGTACACGTAGTTTGCAAGACTGTACTGTAGTGCATAGCAAGGGATGTTTCTCAACAAGTTACATCTGAACAATTCAGATCCTTTTTAAAAGTGTCTATGTGGATGTCACAAATTTTCTCTCCCTTGGAGCTTTGCAAGGTGATCGCCACTTATGTTGCCATTGCTGTCACATTTACCAGGATCTGTTCCTGTAATTTTAATCTTCTCTCGTTATTAACACATCAAATATGGCAAGCCCTTTTGCTAATTATTCGGAAAATAAAATTTTAACTTAAAATTACAGAGATATCTCTCATTTTAGAGAGATATCTCTTAAAAAATAGGGATATCTCTCAACTTAAAGAGATATCTCTCATTTTAAAGACATATCTATATGAGAAAGAGATATCTCTTAAACTTAGAGAGATATCTCTTATAATTAGAGAGATATCTCTTCCACTTGAAAAGATATCTCTTTCTCCCTGAGAGATATCTCTTTCTTGAAAAGAGATATCTCTCAACGTTTAAGAGATATCTCTCTAGATTAAAGAGATATCTCTTACTTTTGGAGATATCTTTCCAAGTTAAAGAGGTATCTCTATTAGTTTATCTTAAGAGATATCTCTTAAAGTGAAAGAGATATCCTTCAAAAGTGTCTAAAAGAGATAGCCCTGAAGCAAAAAAGATATCTCTTTGTTGCAAAGAGATATTTCTCTTCATTATTTGTATTTAAATTTCATTTAAAATGACTTCTCCCTTTACCGGACGTAAGCCATTTTTGACGGAAGTACATTAAAGTATTTTTATCAAAGTACTGAAAGTACTGAAAAGCGGTTAGCATGCTTTCATCTAATATGTACCGAAAAAGTGCATAAAATGATGATATTTAAATATGCATATCTTTGTCCAATGTCATCAGAGAAGAAAAACCCAGACATTCCGTTTTTGTAATACTTTACTCAATAGTTAAACCAATAACATTCCAAACTGATGTCACAGATGGATGCAATCTAATTAAAATTAGATGTTCCGAATCCGCTACTGCTTCTCAAACATCTAACAACATCCTATTTGGGGTCATGTAAGAGTGAATCTTCGATTAGGCAAAGAAAATGGTTCCTCCGAAATCCTGGCTAATAGTTCAGATGGGTTTCTTGTTTTCACCACCCAACCAAAACACCCGAGGAGTTTTGTAGTAAAAAGATATGCATTGCAAAAGTTGTGTTATGGATGACGTGTGGGGTATCTTGTATAGTTTGTGCTCTTTCGTTTGCATTATTCACGTTTAGATGCCAGACTGCAGAAGATACATGAAATTTATTCCAAAATTACTTTAATTCAACGTAAGACAGTATCAATAATGATGATATGTAGCCGTGGAATTAATTTGAGAACTGTTTACCGAGGCTTGAATCTACATGGCCAAAGTGTTTGTGTTTACTTGTACATGTATTCATAATTGAAAGGTCGCTCTGATGTGACCCCGAATGGGATGTTAGATGTTTCAGAAGCGGTAGCGGATTTGGAACATTTAAATAAATTTTAATAAGATTGAAATGCATGTTTCAAAATTTAAACATGAGATTTCTTCAGTTTGAAAGACAGGAAGTGCATTTTTAAAAATTCTCTCTTGATGGCTTCCAATTGTTCTCTGGATAAAAAAAAATTATGTTGATGTTGAAAATTTCATTGTCTTTTATTCTCTATTGAATCTGAAATTAGGTAATTGTAAAGCCTACTATAACAAACAACTAAAAAAATGACAAGTTAAATTCTTTAGATTAATGGATTTTGAGTAGTGTAGATCTACAGCTGGCTAGTCAGAGAAAAAAGGATGGCTGAGGAGAGACTTTGTAAATGAATTGATATCAGAGAGATTCAGTTGTGTAGGCTCATCGCGGCAATATAATTAACCTGTCAACGAGGGATGCTTACTTTTTCTAGGCAACGGATCCCACCTCTTGAACTTTCAGGAGTCAGCTTTTCTTCTAAAATCGATCATTCTGTATTTTGATACAGATACTGAATACTTCCTTTAGTAATATTATAAACTTCTACTTCTACGGGAAGACTGGCGAGTAAACAAGATTATCAAGCTTTATGAAATATATTTTATTGACTTTTCAAACAAGTAAATGTTCGAATAAAGTAAATGGTATATGAGAATCATTTGAAAGAAGTCTTGCACAATATAAGGCACAATATCTAGATAAGGACATATAAGGTGTTTTTATCATATACTCTTCATGCAATATTGTTCTCAAATAAAACATGAAAAAGAAATTTATGTAATCAATCAATACTAGTATTTAAAAATTCAAATGTACATTAAAAATCAGTGTAACTTAAGAAGTTATCAGTGTCACTTTCTTCAATACGTCGGTTAAACAATATACACTGATTTCTTTTCTATCAATGTGCCTCTAAACACCTGTATTTTAATTTTATTCTTCTCAAACGTTTAAAACAATAATCGACAAATTGGACAAATTCAAATTTTAAAAGTATTTTCACAGCTAATAATACGTTCCCTAGGAATTGATCAAATTTTCAAAACTTATAAATAAGAATTAAGTATATATTTTAAATTTTTGCTAATTGCCAAAATTTTTCATACCTCATTCTTCTGTGAAAATAATATCGGTTGATTTTTAGATAAGGATCACAATGCTGATTAAAATTAATATATATTTCTCCATTTTTTTTTTCAAAATTGATTTTACTACTTTAAGTGCTCCATTATTTTTTACAAAACTAATAGTAAGTAATCCCTTATGATCGATTGTTATAAATTATCAAAGACGGAGTAGAGAATTTATCCCTGGGAGCAGAGCTTTTAT